GCTTCTTCAAAATAATTCCTGTCTTTTATTCAGTAAGTGCTGAAGAGTACAAAAATAGGAACTTGGTGGGCTGGAGTTAAGGCTGTTTGGGTGACTTTTTTACTTTGCAATTTCTTGATTTCAGAATTCCATATCAAATACAGATATTTGTTCTGTTTCAGAGAGAGAGAGATATATAAACATAAAAAAAAAAATCCTGCTCAGTTGTTGATAGATGCTTACTTGCATAATTCCAACTTTGCCTATTGTAGATTTGTCTGTTAGAAGTATAAATTTATAGTGATTTTTTTTCTGTAATCTGAAAATTGTAAATCACTGCTTCTTAATAAACTGCTTTCATTAAAATTCTTGGCTAAGATTTGTGATGTAGTAGTGCATATGCATATTTATTTAATGAATTACTATTCTGACTTAAAGGCTTGAATTGTTTAGCTCTCCCGTGAATAGTCTGCAATTTTTATTTAATAATGTATTACTAACTGGAAGGTAGGAAAATTGGAGCACTTTGGTAACTTTACTGAAAGAAATGTAACTATATGACTTCTAGTATTATTCTGGTTATTTTGACAGTGCCATTTTGGTTTCTGCAGTGGCAGTGCATATATGTATAGTGGCAGTTGGTAATCTGCCTGTAAAGCATGAAGTCAGAAAGATCCTAGTTCAGTGGTGGTACTTCATTGTGGTAGACATATTCAGAGCTACAGGGATTGAAAGGTTTTGCCCGGAGGATGGGGTCAGTTATCACTGGTGTGATGGCAGCGTGGACCCTGACTGTGCAGTGTGCCAGTGACCAAACAAGGCTTGGAGTCTTCTGTTAAATGCTTATTTACCAGTCTGAACTTTTTGCTTTTTATTGTTCACTCCCAGCTAAGGAAGTGCTTATTTTGTGTAGTTCCTCTCTAGCTTCCAACATAGTAACATTTCTCCATACAAAAGCCATGTCATTGTGCCAGAATTGTGCTGACTCTTTTATAGATCAAGATTCCATCTAATATTTTTCTAAACTGGCTTGCTTATTTTTTTGTGTTCCATTACTTTATTTTGGAGTTTTAACAAACTTGTTCTTGGCAGGAAAAGATGAAGTGAAGCCAGATGTAGTTTGAAAATGTCTTGATGTCACAAATAATGAATGAATAGTGTATTTTATTTAAAACAAAAAGCTCACTCCAACGCATGGCCTCCCCCCCATATTTGTTTATATTTGTGTTGCCTGAGTCATAATGGAAGTTACAGGAAATAGTGGTCTCAGGTGAAACCTACCTATACTGTCTTGGCAACCATGAAATGTACTTCTGCCATCATAGATTCATTAATTTCTTAGATCTCCTTTGTGTTAGATAGTATAAGCAAATTAATCAAAATTACATTAACACCAGCAAATTCCATCCCTCTGTTCATTTCCATTTCTGTAGCAAAAGCTAGTCTGTACCAGAACTTCATTATTATTAATGAAGCGTTATTCTTGAAATGCATTAAGCAAGGGGGATATGTATCTTAGTGGTTTGGGAAGTGTAGAGTTAAAAAATTACAGTAAGAAAGTAAAGGTTTGCCAACTAATTATTTCTGTATTTTAAAAATATTTTCATAAGTTGTTTAAAATTTTGGTTTCTGCATTCTTCTTTTTTCCTAAATAATGAACCCAAGAAAGTCTCTGCAAAATATTTTTCAGGAAGTTTATGAATTGTAACAGAAACAAGATACATGTGTAATGTTTTCCTCAGTATGTTCAAAGGGTTCTCCAGTTTCTTTAAAGCTTTAAACCTTTGTATTTTGTTCTAGAACTTAAATATCAGAGTAAACCTGAAATACATAGACTAATTGTAAGATGCAGTAATTTGCAGCAAAAGTACCTTCGTATAAAGTAATATCAAAATAATTATGTAAATTTCAGGGGTTTCTGTACTTGCTTACATATGCTTTTAAGGTACAGCATAAAATTGTTATGCAGGCTGTTTTCCTTTTTATTTCTGAAGACGTGCTTTTCTGTATGGAATTTTCAGAGACATCTGAAAGCTGCTAGGCTTTCTTCACAGCTGCATCATGTTCAGAGGCTAACATTCATTCTAGGATTGAATAAAAACCAGGTCTTTTTAAAATTTTATTTTGCTTCCATTTGATCAGGGAAGTCTGTCTTTTGGCAAAAATTATTGCCACTAGTTAAAAAAATGTGACAAGCATTCTGTATGTCAGATTCTATGTCACTCAAAGACATTCAGATTTGGTAGTAATGATACCTCTTATCAGTAAATTATAGTAGCAACTTCTACTTTTCCTATTAAGTTATGTTACGATGGTATTAAATAAAATGTACGGTTTTTATTCCTCTGCCTTATGCTGTGAATAGTTTTTTCCTTATTTAGAAAGCAACAACAGATACAAGTGTTGAAATGATCTTAAACTGTGATAACTAGACAATAACAAATAATTGACTTCCTTTGTTGTAAGTTAATTCTTGAATTCCTTTGTTGTGTACATAGTGTGTCCTATAACCCATGGTCCTGAGGATGACAGGAAGGAATTTGCCTGTTACGATCTGCGGGTTTTTTGTTTTGTCTTTCTTCAGATTAACAGAGTTAAAGCCCTTGAGAACAAAGGATAGTAATAAAATAAAAAATAAAAAAAACTAAAAAAGCATTTTACTGTCATAGTAACGTCTGTTATAGGAGCAGGGTCAATCTAGTTGCTGTTCCACTTTTTTGAGGTACTGGAATTTTTCAAGGGTAAGTCAAATGTTGTGGCAACAGTCCCTTTTATTCGATGTGAAGGTAAATGAGAATAGGCATGAAGATGGAGTTTAGGTGGTAGGCTGCAGTTTTAGTAGCTTGAGAAGAAGTAACATTTTTGTGTTCCCAGTTTCTGATCTGTGTATCACTTGAGAAGGATCAGATGAAGGATGAGATGTCACTCTCCATGTACCATCCAGTGCCATGCAGGTTGTCTTCAGCCTAGGCCTAAAGTTCAGTTCAGTCTTCTGCATCCTGCTGCTCCTTCCCCTTTAAAGGAGGAAATGAGCAGTATGTACGTGGCGATGTCACTGCAGAAAAGTGTGGTTTAAAAAAAGGGAAGGCTTTCTTTGCAATTGAATTGTAAAATATGAAGATCCCCTGCATGATTCAAAAAGTTATAGCATGGCAGTCCTCTGTTAATATCTGATAATAAACATAACTAGGAAGGCAGCAACAGAGGGAACCAGTAGTAATTTTTTTGGAATGCCATGTTAGTAAGCAAATACTCTCATAATAAATAGAAAACAGTAGAGGATTAAAGCACTGAAACAGGAACATTGAAGAGCTTTCTCCCCCTTTGAAACAGTAATAACATTCACTCAAATAGGGAATGCTTTAGTTTGATGGCAGAAGTGAAGGAAAGGAGAAGCTGAGGTAATGCTGCATCTAACTACCGTCAAAGCCTGGTGAGAGAAAGCAGAGCAGTTCAAGTACTGCTGTTGTGTAGTAACATAGAAGTGAATAATTTTGGTTGAGGTGCTCAATTCAACTATACTGGCATTTGGGTCAGCAGACTGGCTCTCAGTTACTGCACTCAGGCCATTGCTGTTGTCTTGGTAGAGGATGGAATAATGAAACCAACTTTTTGTCAGAAGCAATGAAGTGAAGCAAAGTTGAATCTGACAAGGGGAATAGAGTGTACTGAATTTCAGCTCACATTGCAGGAGACAGGTACAAAAATAAAAATGATAAAACCTTCCTACTGACAATAGTTTTGAACTCAAGCTGTGCCTCTGCGCAGCAAACTGATGAGTCTGGAACTGCAAGGGAAGTTAAAAAGATCTTCAGGCTTCTGCCTGTTTGTTCACAAAAGCAAAAAAATTTCTTTATGGCCCTAAAGAGAGGATTCAGCTCATCGGCGCTCTGGAAATGTATCTACTATACTTTGGCTGCTTTTCCTTTTATGTAGTTTAAGAAAGTAAGCTTTGAAATAAGCTTTGAAGGATCAGGGAGGAGGCTTAAAATAGCAGCAGTGAAGAAGCGAGGAGATAATCAAGTTCCATTTTTTTCTTTTCATACCTCTCACTCTTTGCCCAGGTACATTCCTGTTCCTTCCACTTAAAACAGGTGACTGTTCTTCAGATCAGGTTATCCATCTGGTGGTATGGGTAGGTGGCATTTGTGCGGTTTCTGATGATGAGATGTTTGTTCTGCAACACTGTTTAAACATTTCTTTGAACCCAATTAATGCTGTTGAATGCTGGCATGCTTTATTACTTTATGATTTGAGCTCACATTAGTATTATGATACCTCATTTTTCATACAGTGGTAGTTAAGGAACAAAGCTCAGTAACATTTCTTCCTACTGATTTTCCTTTGTGTTTGTGTGCTTAAAATGAGAAATAAAGGATGAACAACTGGTTAAAAATCAAAAGCTTTTGTTCTGCGGGTACAAGCACTCACTTGGGGGATTTGGAATCCGTCATTGTTATCTTGTATGTACTTACACCGTATATCAAATCCATTCCTGAAGGTCTTCAGCACTTATTATAGGTAACATTCTTATTATAATTGATTGAGATCTAGAAAATACAGGTCAGTTTGAAGTGTTACCTGAATAACTTTTTTAAAATTTTTTTTTAAAAGAAATTAAAGTTATAATCCTTGTTGTTTGTTTTCTCTGAACACTATCATTATTTGCAGATGTCTAGCTGTGTATCAGCTAGATCTCTGGGTATATTATATGAGCTTTGGAATCTATACTTGGTTCTGTTTGCAAGTATTTCCTCAGCATATTGAGTCCTGCAAATAATTACTTTTTATTAGACTGAATAAATTTTAATTGAATGTTTGCTCTTTTATACGCAGTCTGTTCCATTTCAAGATTGTAAAGGTCAGCACTAGTTGTATTTTGCATAATAAAAACATTGGCTTAATTTGCTGTCTCACTGTAGGATTACATTTAATAATTTATTTTAATAAAGAAGCATAGCTTTTCAAAGTGTATCTTTCTGATGGTTCAAAAAATGTACCTTCTCTTTTTTTCTTCTCAGATTTATCCAAGAATAGATTAACTGAGGTTCCTACGGAGCTGTGCCATTTTGTGTCACTGGAAACACTAAATCTATACCACAATTGTATAAAAATTATACCAGAAGCCATAGTGAACTTGCAAATGCTAACTTACTTAAATTTGAGGTAAGTTTAACTTTGCCACATTTTCTGTTTATTTGCAAATGTGTAAAGCTTTTTCTTGTCTGCACTTTATGTGTTTCTGGAACAACAGACTACATTTTTCATTTTATTGGAAACGGTAGTGCAAAAACTCATTGCCTGTAGGTACAGCTCTGTATGAAGGCATTGTAAAGGCCAAAATGTAAAACTAATTAAGGAAAGACCTTTCTTTCGTTTATTCTTCTAGCAAATTCAGAATGCTAATCACATCAGCACAGTTGGTTTCTTTTAATTCCCTTCTGATGATAAATTTTGTGAAGCTTGACATGCTTTTTGTAGTTAAAAAGATGGAGGGACAGAGACAGAGGATTAATTTCTTTTCATGGGGAATGGAGAGGGAAAAGTGGTGATACTTTATCACTAGTATCCTCTTATTATGCAAGAAGTATAGTTACTGCCTTTTTAGGAGGAAGGGGCAAAGAATTAGTCACCTTTGTGTCTTTTTCATGAAAAGTATGCGTGAATACTAATCGGTATAGAGAATTGCTACTGGTTAAAGTGCAGGTGAATGCACATTTACTTTTGAGAGAGGGAATGTCGGCACTTTTTCAGTTGGGGCAAGATGTGGAGGTTTATTTGTGGTTGAGTATGTAAAAACTGTAACAGTGAAGATGTAATAATCTGTTCTTTGTGAGAATGAGGTTTGGGCAGGGGGCAAAGTGGCTCTTGGGCCTTTAAATTCAAGGTATAAAGGCTTGGTTATCAGTTTTGTAAACACTGAGGATGTTTCTCAGGCCTTGCTGTATTGTTACTGTACTGCAGTTTTGGCCACTGTGGAACACTAATTTTGGCTCTAAAAATTGAAACAGAATAATGTGTCCTGATATCTGCACACATGGAAAGAAGAGGACTTGAAATTTTGAAATAGTGTTTGTTAGATATACGTAAAGAAATTAAGACTGGATGAAATTATTAAGTTTAAATAAAACATCTTAGTAAATTTAGGAATTGGAATGAACTCAATTAGAATGCAATGTAGTGAACTAGTGAATTAGAACACAATGCAGTGATGGAATTTGTGTGAATCATGACAAACCCAGAATAGTTACAGAGTTAATATCACATATCACAGTAAATTAAACAATCAAAACAAACAGAAATTTTTCAAGCTTTACTAAGTGATGTCATTTCCCTCAGTTTAAAATCTCCTCTTCACTTGGATGTGCTCTTCCCCCGTGTTAGTTGAACACAGTAAGCAGTCTGTAGAAGAAGGAAAGATATCCTTGACTTGCTAACCGTGTTGCTTCTTGGCAAGAAAAATATTATAGATTTAAAATGAATTTTTTTCTGCCTGTTACCAGCAGAGCCCATATGTTAAATAGAATTAGAAAGTGATGCCAAGAGATATACATAGTCTTTGGGCCTTGGTGGATACGGTTCATGTTTTATTTAAAGAAATTCCTTTTAAACTAATGATGATTTATTACTCACTTGCCCTGGTTATGTGCTGTTCCTTATCTCTTAGGGTTGCTTCTGAGTTCTATAGAACTTAAAAATTATTTTTACTTAAATTTTTTTTTTTGGTGTCTGATCTCCTGCATAGTGTAACTTTTTTAGATTCTAGGCTTTCTCCATTTGAGTTCTTTAGAACTTAAAAGATTATTTCTACTTATTTTTTAGAATAAGTTATGCCTTGGTCTTCTGTAAAGACACTAGAATTGAGAATCCTGACTCCACAATAAGCATTGATTCTTTTTTTCAACTACTGCTGGTTAGTAGTTGGATTTCTCATTTTTAATATCCTTGGGTTTGTTATTTGATACCTGTCTGTCTCCCAGCCTGTGTAACAGAGATATGATAGTTCGCTTTGTAAAACATTTTGAGACTGTTGTGTGGAGCATGAATATATGTTTTTATATACAGTTTTGTAGCAGACCACTGGATTTGCTGTTGAAGAAGAAATGTTTTGAGACTTGTGGAATTTTGATTTTTGTTTCCTTTTGTTTCAATTCAATGTTGCAACTTTTACTGAAATTACACAGGACAATTTTTGCCATCTGTTTTCAGAGTTCAGTCATGCAAATTTGTTCTCTGGAGCCTTAACAGTCATGCTGACGCTAACTAAAATGGTTCTTACTGGGATACCACTTTAAGTTAATGTTCATTGTTTTCCTACAGGTTAATACCCATAAAAAAGAAAAAGTTACATTTCAAGAAAACCTTCAAATATTCTAGGAAAAACAGTAGTTAATATGTTATTCTGCTTAGCTTAAAGTTTCTTATGGGAATTGGTCCACAAATCACAAGAAATAAATATTTGTAATCATCTGGAGATCACAAAGGGTCATGGCATTTGTCATCTTTTAAGTTCTAGCTTCTTGAGTAATTGTTACTAGAATGAGAACCTAAATCTTTTGAAAGTTTTCCACCAAATTTTTCCTTTCCTTGCAGGTATGAAGAATAAAATGGCACATGTCAGCGACTTAAAAAAGTTTTATCAATTTTAGGAAAAAGTAAGACACAGAGATTAAATGGCTCAATATGAGTCTTGGAAAGAAATGAACCATTGATGGTCACAGAATTTTTTGCTATATTTACCTGGATTAGTATCATAGAATCATAGAACAACAAGTACCAAGTAATCTCCAACTATAAGTGTGCTTTACAGTAATTGAGAAAACAACTGTTTTATCTGTAATTTATTTATTTGTCTTTCAGTTGGAACAAAAGACATCTACTATACTGCCACATAAAACCATAGGAATGTTTAAATACTTGCAAAATACTGTCTCGGTTGACTTTCTTGTATTCATTAGGAAGGGAAACAGCTGTTCTAGGTGACAACCAGACTTGTTACAATATTATTAAACTGATATAATGCATTTTTTCCAGAGTGGTAATATTCCACAATACTGTTTAGTCAATAATGCAGATATTTTTGATGTGCAAGTGTTTTCTTAATGATTGCCATTCAAAAATTTAAATTTTATCTGCATAAAATCTGACTCATCAAAATGAAGGAATTTTACAACTCTCAGACTTTATGTGAGTATACAGTAGAACGTCACTGGTGTTTTTAATGGTTGTTTTTTTTTGTTTTGTTGCAGTCGAAATCAGCTTTCTTCTTTGCCAGCTTGCCTGTGTGGTCTTCCTCTAAAAGTCTTAATTGCAAGTAACAATAAGCTAGGTTCCCTTCCAGAAGAGATAGGTCAGCTAAAACAGTTAATGGAACTGGTATGTTACTGATATTTTTTTTATTTTTTATTTTGACTTCGTTTGTATTTAACTAGAAACAGTAAAAGTCACTTTGCAAGTATATTTGAACAAATGCCTAATACTATAATGCAGGTTAAAAAATTAACTTTTGAACTTCTCAAGTGTGTTGGGGAGTAACACAATAGTAGTTTTCTTTATGTTCTTCAGGACCCTTCTAAACAACATCACTGCCCTTGGTTCATTCAAAACTCAGCTTTTAAGTTCATCATCTTTACCAGTTTTACTCATTGCCTGCACTGGTTCTCTGTTTTGCTGTCTCAAGTCCCTAGTTCTGGCATCAGGCTCTGCAAAGCTGTATCCCCTGCTGTAGCACCCTCCCCTTCTGCTTCCTTTCTCTCTGTTATTACTATCTGCTTACCACATTGCATTCCACCAGTGATATTGGTCTTCTCAGTCTATTTTAATTTTATTTCACTATTTTTGTCATGCAACCTTCCTTTCCTGCAACACCCATCTAAACAGATTTACAAAATGATTATATTTCTCTTTTTTCCAAAGCTGTCCACACGACTACTGTTTCTGCAAGCAGTAGATCATCTATAATATATTGTCTAATAAATGAGAATCTGAAAATGCAAAAAATTATTTGGTACCTTAACTTAAAATTAATTTAATTGCACATTTTTTTTTGAAGTTTGTATGTGGAAAATGTATGTAAGAGAATGCTTCCCTTTCTCTCCCTTTATCTTCCTCTTTTGTGTATTGTAGAGACTCTGAATTCTCTGTGGCATATGCGTTATGTCTTCTGGTTATTTCTGTTCACCTTGACCTCTTAAGATACAAATTGACAAATAAACTACATTTTGACACTGCTAATTTATGCATAGTAAAACAATGATATTTGAACTTTTTTCCAATTGCTGATATCTCCATTGACTGCATTTATCTTGCACATCTTTTCGGTATCTGAAAATGCCTGCTTATATTATTATTTTTATAACAGTAGTTTCTCTACTAAATTATGTTACAGAAATTGAGCTGACCTTGCTTTAGGCCCCAGTCCTGCTACTGGTTTTTCATTTGTGGAGTGAAGTGGCAACTGTAGGGCTTTTTTTCTTCTGGTATTCTTTTTGTACAGCATCCTGTGGTATCAGGCTTTTATTTATTACAACTGATCTGGCTGCTTCCTTTCTGGGTTATACCTGAGCTAAAGACTATCGAGTTTGTTTTTTGTTTGGTGAGCATTATTAATTCATCTTATTATAATAGTTTATTTTTTGTGTGTGTGTGATGGGTTTAATTAGATTACTGAAATGGTTTTGATTTAATTAACCTTCCAAAAAGTGTGTTAGGCTATAGCATTGTTTCTGTTGTGCTTACAGTAGATCTAATAAAAGATTATGATTCCAGTTTTAGATATAATTCAAGTTGAACAGTATTAAGCACATTTTAATTTAGGGGATAGGATGACTGAATAGATAATAAACAAAGATTAGAACCTGTTAGCTCTTGATCGCTTCTAGTTTAAATGTAGCCTAGCTTAGTGGTGGGGGGCTCATGTGAAATAATTGAAAGACTTGGCCTGATTCTGTCTGCTCAAAATTACCCATTTTATTTGTATTAACTGAGGTCTGTGGTAATATTTTCAGTAAAGAGCTGCTGAAATGCTTTCATATCTAATTTCCCCTCCAATTTCAAGTTTGAACCTTCGCAGTAAGGTGAACTAGCATTGCTGATGCTGGAAGTGTTTCATTTGTGAGTAGGAGTTTGTATTTAGCTTAATAGTAGCCCTTATCCTTATTTTAGACTTTTGAAAAGTTAAAAACTAAAAGCTTGAAAATCAGTGTAGATTATGCTCAAAGGAGATAGGGTTTGTCTGGGTTTTTTTAAACAAATCATATGTTTAAATTAACTTCTGGAATACTGGATTTTCATATTGCTTTCCAGTTACAGTATAATTTCAGTGTTACTCTTTGTCATGAAGAACACAACAATTCCTGCTCTAAAAATATTTTAAATTAGAGGCTATAGCAACATGTCACTTCGGTAGCCTAGAAGAATTACGGAAGCTGAAGAAGGTCTGATGCTAGTTCATTGTGATTAGAAGGTGCAAGGGGGGAATAAATAACAAGTTTTTTGTTAAACTGGGCATGCTTCTGTTCAGACGACCTGATTACTTAGTTTGATGCCACCATAAGTGTTTGATACATTTCCAGTGAAATGAGTTGCATTATTTAGCTGTAAATGACTAAACTGTGATGTATTGGGAGAAGCAAATAGTGGTAGGATTGAGAGCCAGTATCTGTATTGGCATATATAATATAAAACAGTTTAGATAATAAGGTGATCATTGTTCTAAAACAAGTAAAAAAAAAAAAAAAAAAAGATTAAGTCATGCTGCAGTTGTTGCACAAAACATTCAGCTGTGTGAGAGCAATGCCAGCCTGAACAGTGTGCGGCCTTCAAGCGACACCACCACCCAGCCCTCTGGCAGAGCATGCTGTTGTTTTGGGACATACGCAGTGCTGGTGTTCAGCTGGGCCAGGGAATCGGTCCTGAGAAGTGACAGATGCCACCTGACTGCATTCAGTTCTTGTATTACTAGGACTTTGCCAAGCACCCTCAGGTTTTCAGAGTGCTTTATGGCTTTTCACAGGCTGCATGCAGTAAAATCTGTGTGTACATAGCAAATCAATGTTTTCTTTTTGTTTGTTTGTTTGTTACCTAACTTTTTGAAACAAATTTTACCTCTGTAGTCGCTCTTGAATGATACAAGCATAGTTTGCTGCAAATTAGGTCACATCTTTCCAACTAACTACTTTCTTCCCTCTCTGCTCCAAAGTTGGGTAGGCGATTCTTCTTCTATTACATGTATATATTTACATAAATTTCATACTTGTGGCATAGAATGGCTTAGATATTACATGCAGTAAATTTTCAGGTATTCTTTTAAATTTTAGGGTTCTGGGTTATATTGATCTGACAGCTATCTTACAAGCATCAAAACAACATAAATTATTCTACCTGCAGAATATATTAAAAGTATTTGCAAAATTTGGTTGGGAAACTTACTTTTATTTGCAGCTGCATAACTCGATCATACCTCTACTGTCAACCAGGAGGATGAGTGCAAAACTGCTGTGAAGACAATCTGAACTTTACTTTCCGTCAAAGAAAAGTAATTGGGCAGAGATGACTCATTAATTGCACCCAAAACTATCAGATGTACAGTAAAATTCTGTTCTCCATCCTACCAGGCAGTATTGCACTTCTGCCTTCTTCAGGGAACAGCCTTCTCCATCTCTGGGACGCTCCTGTCTCATGTTGGAAGCCTTTAAATCTCAGCTGGGATTTAGGTCCTTCACCTCATTCATCTAATCTGGGCCAGCAGCCTGACTAAGTGGGACCTGCTGCCTTCTGTTTTCTGAAAGGATCCATGTGCTCATGCACCGTGTAACTTCTCTTTACCATTCAGTATGGCTTTGTATGTCGCAAGCTCTGACAGAATCCACGTGCTTTTTAGGAATAACAGCTCAGTCAGGAGTCTCAAGTTTTAAAATGGATGTAAGGAGGAAGTTTACCTCAGTTTGGATGGTTTGGATAAACTCCTGTGTGTCAATAAATATGTTAATATAGAGCCACAGTACTATATTTGTTTTTATGTTTATATTATGCTGAATTTTATTGGTTTAAGACCATTTAAACTTCACCATAAGCAAACGAAAAATATTGATAGTTTTTGTTTGTTTTCACGCCATTGAGCTTCATGCCACAGAAATGGATGTTAAATTTAAATACGCCTTACATTAATCTTGAGAAACTGTGTCTGTGTTGTCATGGCAGGTTGAAATAGAATTAATGCAAGAAGTCTGACCTTCAGCAAACACTAACCCCTGGAACTTGAGTAGGTATTTGGACTTCACTTCAGATGTCCATGAAGCGAAGTTCCAAACTGCTGGTTATCTAGTTCTTTTAAAAAATTATTAGCCTGACAATCATAGTCGTTTGACTTTGATAGTATTGCTTCCATTACTGCCAAAGTAATGGGAAAGATAAACACTGTCTCTGTCACATACACACTCATGAATTCTAATAATAGTCAAGACCATAAGTATAACTAGAAATAATGTTATAGGTCTTTGTTTTCCACAGCTATTCAAACAAAGTAATGAAAAAATGTTGGATTGCAGTGTTTGGTAGGATAAAGGATACTACTGTCTCTAGAGATCTTGTGAATGCTGACATGCTGTCACAACAGATCAGTCTTATTGAGGATGTTTTGAAAGGTTATAAGTGGACTTTGTTTTTGAGGCTACACACTGCCAACCTTTCCTCCCCACCCCCCCACTTCCTTTAAAATTCTCTTGTCTCTTTCCCTGACTTGTTCTGATGTGTGTGCGTAAGTACACTTGGTCTAGAGTTTCTCTGCCACAAGGTGACTTTAAATTTAAATTCCGTGCTCTAAAAATTGAGTATCTAATTATGAAGTTGTTTAAAGTCTGTAAATTAAAAATAGGACAGTAAAGCTTTAAAAATAAATTATCTAGGAACAGTGCAATTAACCATACTTTGTGGCAACTTGGGCAAAAGATGCACTCATTAACCGGGATTTTTAATTTCCTTGTCTAAAAGCTAAAATAATTTCCTGACTGTGTTTTGACAAGGGAAGGATGCTTTGGCAGCAGTGAGATTCCGTTAGAAGAAGAAACTTGTCTGATACAGCGAGCAGCATTGCCAGATCACATTTTGCTTTTACTATCATTTTTTGTTAACTAGTTTTTAGGCTTGAAGATAGAGAGTTAATGTAACACTTTTGACTAGTATTAAAGCAACTATCTTCAAAGAGATGACTTGGAAATCTGACTGACTTTTAGAAATTTTGTAGTCTGGAAGCTCCCAGGTACTGTATAAATCCATTTGAAACAATCAAGAGAGTAGGAGTGAACATCCTAAAAGTATTCCGTTGGCTATTCAGGAAAAGTTGGCATTACCCCACTTAGCTCTCATACTGTGACATACTGTTTCCTTTTTTTTACGTAGAAATGGAAGCATAATCGGGACATTACATCCCAGACAACCTGTAAATTTGAGTAAGTGGAGGTTTCAATGTCCCTTTGACTTCCCATTGAGTATAGACAGTTTGGCAGTAAAAACGATAGCTAGTATCTGAAAACTATCTCATTTTAGACTGACTTAATGCTAGAAGTTGATCTTTAGTACACATTGGTTAAAGTATAATATTTATTACAGTAATACTACTGTATATAAACTTGTTGCTTGAAATTATGCTCAGTATAGCCAGACCCTAGACTTTCAACTCAATTTTACAGCAGTTACTCCTTTAGGAATGCTGAAATGAGAATGGGTTTCAATTTCATCCAGAGTATTAAACCAGTGTATTCCATTCTATTCAGGAAAAGTTGGCATTACCCCACTTAGCTCTCATACTGTGACATACTGTTTCCTTTTTTTTACGTAGAAATGGAAGCATAATCGGGACATTACATCCCAGACAACCTGTAAATTTGAGTAAGTGGAGGTTTCAATGTCCCTTTGACTTCCCATTGAGTATAGACAGTTTGGCAGTAAAAACGATAGCTAGTATCTGAAAACTATCTCATTTTAGACTGACTTAATGCTAGAAGTTGATCTTTAGTACACATTGGTTAAAGTATAATATTTATTACAGTAATACTACTGTATATAAACTTGTTGCTTGAAATTATGCTCAGTATAGCCAGACCCTAGACTTTCAACTCAATTTTACAGCAGTTACTCCTTTAGGAATGCTGAAATGAGAATGGGTTTCAATTTCATCCAGAGTATTAAACCAGTTGTATTTAGTCATCAAAAGCAGACCTACTTAGAACATGTCTAGGCAGTTAAGAAGTACTTATTACAATAATATGTTGAATATCTGTATAATACTAAACTAGACCTGTCCTATTTTATTATGGCCTACTATGTGATGTGATAATAAAATATATGTCTTTCCTGAGCATCATTACAGAATGCTATTGCCGTTTTCTCTCTCCTTTTTTTTTTTTTAATTTTGCTTAAATATTCCCTCCAGAAGAACAAGAACCTTTTTTAAAAAATCAGTTCCACTCACTAGCAGTTTTACATTTCATCCAAACATTTTTGGTTATATAATCATGGTACTGAGTTCTTCATACGAATAAAAGTTAAGAACAAAAAGGTAGAACATCTTAAGCAAATGGTTTTGAATGTTTCTATAGAAATTAAATTAACTTTCAACATTAACTTGTTCTCCAAATAAGAATTCGCTCTGGGTTTTAAGTCATGTAAACATTTTCTCATGTATCTAGTTTTGCAGTGTGAAGACAGGACACAGAAGGTTGCATGTTTTCAGGTTAATAAAATGTTACAATGGTAATAGCAAATTAGCTACAATTTCACATCTGTATTATTTAACATTTAGGAGCCAAAAGTTCATTATTTCTGTTATTACTAATTTGCTGTAGGATGTCAGCTGTAATGAAATCACAGCTTTGCCACAGCAGATAGGCCAGCTGAAATCTTTAAAAGAACTGAATGTCAGAAGAAATTACCTCGAAGTTTTACCCCAAGGTAAAAACAAACAAAAAACCCTAATACCTTTTTGGTAGTTCTTTTTATTAGCATGTTGAAAGTATTTTTTAATCATGTAAGTAAATATGATTAGGATGTCAGCTGTAATGAAATCACAGCTTTGCCACAGCAGATAGGCCAGCTGAAATCTTTAAAAGAACTGAATGTCAGAAGAAATTACCTCGAAGTTTTACCCCAAGGTAAAAACAAACAAAAAACCCTAATACCTTTTTGGTAGTTCTTTTTATTAGCATGTTGAAAGTATTTTTTAATCATGTAAGTAAATATGATTAAAAACTAGTAATTACTTTGTGTTCAAATTTATTCCATTTCAGTTTGCAGAATATAACATTCAGTGGTACTTACTAAATGACAGCATGTGAGGGTTTTTTAATGAATTATCTTTATGATTCTAGGAATGTCTTAAGTTGCACAAGTACTTGCCTGCGAATGCAATATGGGAACTGTCAGCTGAGTTTCAGGGGAAAAAAGATATTTCAAAGTATTTCTTTTAAAATTTATTGTCCCTTGAATAACAAAACCACTCTTTTCATTTCCCGGTACAGAATGGAATAAATGTTGATCATATTCCTGCCTGAGTTTGTATTTTTCCTGAATGGAAAAGAAGGTTTATTAAAAAATATTTTATTATTTTATGGCAAAAATAAATACAGATATAACACCGTCTCTCTTTTTTGTTACTTTTAGAACTAGTACAGCTTCCCTTGGTAAAGTTCGACTTTTCCTGCAATAAAGTGCTTGTGATTCCAATTTGTTTTAGAAAGATGGTGCAGTTACAAGTATTACTGCTTGAGAACAATCCTTTGCAGTCTCCACCAGCACAAGTAAGTAACATCTATCATTTAAATTATGCCTTAATATTGGGCAATATTTGGATAACAGATTATAGCTTATAAAATGTCACCTACTGCAATTGCAGGCTTCTGAATGTCAGTCATCACAGACATTAGTTGCTGATGTATAAATAAGACACAGAAAGTATGCGATGTTCTGTATATGAGTCTGTGCACCACTTGAACCAACATGAGTCTAGAAGATTTCCATTCAGTTAGCTACCTGTTTATTTTTGTCATTCCTATCTGCATATGAAACTTAATGTTGGAATATGTATATAATTTTGAAAAAGAGAATTGAGAAACTTCCTGGATAAATTTTCTCTCTGTTAATAAGAACCCAGTTCTAGAAGGTTCTACAGTGATTTACTATTAACTTAGAAAATATGCAGATGGTCTAGAACGTAATCCATATGAAATTTATTTTACTTCATAGTGTAAGTTTATAGATTGTGATACACAAAAAAATCAAACTCCTGTTCTGAACTGTAGGCTCTGCTGAGAAATGATGATAATAAATGACCGGAACCTGTGCTTGCTGCTTAAGGACAACTTTGCTGTTGACTTACTGGACAGTAGATTCAAACTACATCTCTGAAAGCTACAATTGTTCTAGATCAACAGCTGTTGAAATACTTGAGAGTTTTTATTATATTGGAAAAATGCTTTTCATAACCAATGGTGATGCTGCTACTAAGCTCAAAAAATACAGAGCACGTTTCAGCAAGCACTTGAGCTAGAAGTGTGCAGTTAAAGAAAAAAGAATTCTAAAATGCAGGTGAAATGCATCATAAAGATGCTTAGACACTAGTAAAAACAATGTGACTAAGAATATAAAGGAAATGCTGATTACTTAAATGTCATTATTGACTAATTTTGGAAACTAATTATTCAATTTACGGTTAGTAATAGGCCATACGATATATTTTATTGTAATTCTTCTTGTGAATGAAAAGCTTATTTGGATTTTTTTAAAGTAGAATACATTCTTTTCTTGTTTTCTGTCTTACTCTCTGAGGGTATTTAGACTAGTACACACAGATAATTGATTGGGTAGTTGAAGTAGTTCTTAGTAATTTTAAAAAAATGAATAAAATCCATTTTCCTTTACGTGATATCTATTGTGACGATACGAGTTGATTTTCAGGGAGTTTTACACTAAGTGACATCTGGAATAAATTATTTCTTTCATTCTAGTTATAAACCTAACTTTTTTTCTTGTCTAACAGATTTGTACAAAGGGTAAGGTGCATATATTCAAATATCTGACTGTACAGGCCTGTCAGATTAAAACGGCAGATTCACTGTATCTTAATGCCATAGAACAACAGCATTTGCCACAACCCGTGGAAGAAAGGTATGTATGAAAATCTCACTTAGTTTTTTCATGTAACACACATGAACAAAGTGAAATAATATATTTATATCTTTAGCTTCCAGAGTTTCATTTGTTTAGATGCTATTTAGAGTGTGCTTTTTTGAACAGAGATTTGTTTTGCTTTAATATAGGGATTTCACTAGAATAAAATATAAGAGTTTAGAACAAAATATTTTTAACAATCAGTTCTGATTAAAGGTAGCAGCACATTAGGAAAATGCTTAGAAGTGAACCTTAGTTTACATCTAACCTCTTACTAGTAGACTGCTGGAATATATTGAAAATAATTGAGATGGTAGTATCATTAAGTGTTGGAACTTTCTTGTAAATCTATTAACACGTTAAATAAGTTTTAATTTCGTATGTTGTTTTGTGATTTATATGTTGTTATACATGGTCGCATAGTTGTTTTTTAAGCTTTTTTGTTCATCCAGAGGCTTATCCATCCAGCAAAGAGAACTGCATGAATCTTGAGACCCTTTTAAAGTGAAATGTGCTAATTTGTTAGCAAAATTAAAGATTTTGACTTTCATGTCTTGCATCAAACATCTAGGAAATGTCATCTTGTATGGTATTTTAAGGACAGGAACTAGATACGAAGCAGCTCCTTTTTATGAGAATCTCCATAGCTAATTGGAAACCAGTTTTTAGCCAGCTGTTTTTTTGCTAACATGGGAAGTATAATATAACCAATCAGAGGAAGTGCCATAATGCCTTATTTTTGGAGAGAAGTACTCAATAAAAACAAAGTGTTGATGTAAATAAAAATGGAGATGTTGCTGCAAACACCCTGGGGAAAAAAAAAACCTGTTACAGAATCTCCCTGTCAGTCATCTAGATAAGGTTTCAAGCAAATCGTTTTCCTCCATGTATGTTTGGAAACACCTTTGTGGATTTCTATCATAAATGCCAAAGGTGGGAATAATCCAGGATGAAGAGTAAGTTTTCCATTTGGGAAACACCTACTGGTTTTCTGTTTTGTTCTTTTAGTATATAAGAAAATTGACAGGAATGTCATGTCCTGTATGACATTTTGGTCATATAGGATCATACAGGTTAGGGTAAGGGGATAGTACAGAGTAGGTACCAGTTGGTAACTAACAGCCTAATGCTCTATCACATAATAATTACCAGATTTTTATTTTAGAGAATAACTTCATACTTCTAAAGAAAAAGCATAACCTGGTTAGGATTTCCATATGCAGTTTCTTTCTACACAAAATCCTTAGTGTTTACTGATAAGAGATAATTTAAGATTAGGATTAATCATATACCTTATTCATGTGAACATTGATAAAATTATTTTTTAAATTGCTGTGTCAATCTGAATTCAGGATTACAGCTTTCAGGATTGCAAATGAGAGGATAATAAAGCATATTAAAAAAAAAGTTAGGTGATGAGTGTATTGCATCTAATAGTGTACTTTAAAATGAGTAGAGGTCAGACTAGGTAATGAAACCAGAAGAGAGAGCAGTTGCCATTATTATAGTCGTTTTCTTAAAAACCTAAATTTCAAAATCTATTTTAAAGCACCAAAAGAAGGTTTCTGTGTTAATAACTACTTCAAGCCGCAGGGAAATATCAGTTCATTTTTAATGCATCAATGGTTACAATTAAATCGGTTGACTCCAGTTTGAGTTCAACTAGTTTAGTTGCTTTTCCCATGGCTAAATGACTTCAGTTGGACTCCTGTGCTACTTAGCTAGTAACTGAGCGTTTTTCCCTAGTGTATAGACAAAAGCAAGCTTTATAGCAGATTATTTCTGTTGTTTTCGTTAATCATTAGGCTAACCAGCCATTCCATCTGATCTATTTTACTATTGCCAGACTGCAGATGTGTAGTTTTTAATCATACTAGGTTATTGCACCCTCTACCATTAAGACTGGTTGGAATTTTGCTTTGTTTTAAGTGAAACCAGGACAGAATTCTAATGGTAAATGCTATGATAGCTTTTTATTGTGGTTTGGTTTTTTTTTTTAATTCACATGTAGCATCGATGACATCTACCCAAGTAAAAAGGACTCAGATTCAGGTGTTGGTAGTGATAATGGCGATAAACGTTTGTCAGCAACAGAGGTAAGTTGCCTGAATTTTGTGTCCAGCTCCCCTTCCCTCCGTGCATATATTTTGACTATATTTTAGGTTGGGTAACAATATGAATATGTTTTTAGCCATCAAAGCTGTGCAACCACATCCTTGGCATGAATTTCTTGCTAAGCAAGGCTAAAACAAAGATAAAAGGGGACTGTTTTTTTGGGGTTGTTTTTGGTTTTTTTTGTCTGCACACTTTCTGGAGAGGGCAGTGAGATACTTGCTTACAAATGGTCAACAACCTACCAATAGTGACAATTCACTACAGTTTTCAGACAGTTTACATAATCTAGAGAATGAGGACCAAACCAGAATCCACATCTGCTCTTTCCAATGAAGGAAATGTCCTGACAGGTTACATTCCTGGTGGCTTCTCATTTCTCTTCTGACTGATGACTCTTTCCTGTTGGGAATTAACAGGAGTTCAGTGTGCCCAGTCCCGCTGTATTCTGTGGTGTCATAGTTATGGCAGTTTGCTGTAGTGTAGGAACTTCCGAAACTTTTCAGATCTTAATGCATTTACATGCTTGGGCAGTTAGGCAGTGCTGGAAATAAGCCGTCAGAATTCTTTCTGAACTAAGTTGTCTGACTGAACGAAGAAAATGGATGGCTTTCTGAGACTAGTGTTGTCCTAAGCGGTTACAGCTGACTTTCCTAGACCTTTTTTCTGAGGCCCTGCTCAGCTGAACAGGACACTAAATCTAGCTGGAGTTTAACTGAATAAATAATGATAAATAAGTAAATAATTACAATATAAGTCAGGGATGATCTTTCTGAAATGTACAAATAATGGGATTTGTGGTCTGACCTAATGGGAAATTCAGGTCACAATAAAAGAATGGGCTTCTTGCTACTTAAAATAATTTTACACTGATTCTTTACTGTTTCTCTCCTCCTTTGAGGAAAAGAGATTCTATTGCTTTTGAAACAAAGATATAAAGAATCAAGCTTAGGTACTGAATTTGTAGTTACTAAAAAGCAAATTGAAAATGAATCCACTTACATGCTGATTGGTCTTTTAAATACAAAAGCACTTAAATAAAACCCACAGGGATTTCCAAGTATGTGGGCAAGTTTCTTGATAGATGGAAATGAAGCAGAATTATCATGATTTCTAGCCAGACTTCTAATGGTTTCCCTCTGGTTGTAAGAGTATGCAGTTTATTCAGAGACACTTACAAACTGTTTTGCCATTCTTACACCTCCTGAAGCTGAGTTAGCTTGTTAATGAAACTGTTGTTCCAGAATTTTGTCTTTAGCAATAAATAACACCTTTAGAAAATAGATCATCTTTACTGTATAGAATCATAGAATCATTAAGGTTGGAAGAGACCTCTAAGATCATCGAGTCCAACTGTCGACCCAACACCACCATGCCCACTAAACCATGTCCCTAAGTGCCGCATCTACACGTCTTTTAAATGCTTCCAGGGATGGGGACTCACCCACTTCCCTGGGCAGCCTGTTCCAATGTTTAA